CTGTATCTTCCATAGGGATAAGGAGGTGTTGAGAACCAATCCAGCCTTTCAGCCAAAGGTAAACTCTACATTCCACAGATCTCAAGAGATCAACCTTCCATCTTTCTGTCCAAATCCCAGCCACCCAAGGAAAAGGGTGTGTCACTTGCTGGATGTCAAGACAGCGCTGAAGGCATTAATATGTAGCACAGAGCACTTCAGAAACACAGATACTCTGTTCATTTTCACCTATCCACTAAACATGAAGAATAAATTGTCCAAGTCAGCCATCAGCAGATGTCTCAGATTTTTGTATCATAGAAGCTTACAAACTCCACAAACTGGATGTTCCATGTGGAATCACAGCTCATTCTGTGAGAAGTGCGGCAGCTAACACAGCCTTTGCTAGACATGGTCATCCATTTCTAAGTTTGTAAAACACTATAAGATAAAACGTATACAATTCAGCTGATGTTGCCTTTGGCAGAAGAGTCCTCCAACACATAATAGACACAGAAGATGAAAGGAGGACATCTTGTCCCTCCCAAGTCATGGTCAGTCAATCAACCAGTTAGCTGAAGGATTCCTTCCTGTCCTAACTGTTCTACACTTAACTGTTCTTAACTAGTCTTGCATTAATGGTACACATTGCCTGTTCTAGCCAATTAGTTTAACTGCTTTCTGCTTTTGGAGTTGCCAGAACTGAAGGGCGGGTGACTCCCACAGCAGAGACAGGAAGGGGGAAAAAGTTGCTCCTTTCTCCCTGAGTGGATGATGGAAATCGCCCACCAAGATGTCCTCCTTTCCTTAGAGGAGAATAACCCTTCATAGTAAGTATCCAATAGTTCATTCTTAACAGATTAACAATATTTTTACCAAGTTTTGAAAGCATAGTTTTATTTGAGGTTAAGAAAAATGCTTTAATGTACACTTTCTCCATTGGATTAGAATTGAAGTATGTCATTGAAGCTGCAGGTAAATTGTTGGTAAATGTTTTTGAGCAATGAATTTAGATTTCCACATGATTGCCTTTCAAGATCAGTCTTGTGTACGACTGTACATGTATATTTTAAGTGTGACATGTCCCCATCTAGATGTTAAAACTTTACTTATGTTGTGTGGAAACCGTCTTAGGAGTGTATGTTCTTCACTGGTGAGAAAAATACAGAAAGGGAAGGCCTTGCTAGAGATTTCAATTAAGTCAGTCATGAAGAACTGGAAAATACATAAGTTGAAGTTTGGTGTACACAGAGCATAGCAGCAGGTTTTTTTAAATCAGTGCTTGGAAATAAACCCCACTGACTTTTTAATATTTCCCACATAGAGAAAATGCTTTCTGTCCATGGCTCTTGGTATCCAAACTCTGACTACATATACCTGTGATGCAGTATTTGCGGGGTTGTCTCCTTCACATGGCTGCTGCTTTTACATTGTGGACTTTGCAACTTTGAAAAAAAAATTCTAAGTGTGTGGTCATGCATGCACTTAAACTTTATGCTGGCACCAGAAATTTGAAGTACCTTTCCAGCTGTGTTTCTGTTTTTACGCTTTCCAGCACAACTCTTGCTGCTAAATAGGCATTTCAATCTAGATTGTGTGCAGGAAGCTGAAGAGGACAGTGAAAGGGCAGTGATGCCGAAGGAGAGCCACAGTGCACAGAAAACATTGGAAAGGGAGAGCTTTGCAAAGAAAATGTGAGCATTGAAGGTTTTGATGTGGCTTGATGGATAAAGAAGTCTGCCCAGGGAATAGGCAGCAGTGAAAAACATGAGGAGGAGTAATGGGTGAAAGGTAGCCATTGCAGGTGAGCCTTGTAAACAGCCATTCATCCGTGGCAAGAATGTCCTTGGGTTGATCAGGGTGGAGTTGGCATGCTACTTAATTCACTGGTCAGATATCATTCAGTGACATCCGATTATCGGATTACAGTATGATAGTGTCAAACATTTCATGAAGCCAAGGACATACTGTATCAATGGCAGCTTATCATTCTTCTCTCATTTGCTAATAAGGAAAGAAGCGAAGCCAGTTTGCTCGCTTCCATAAAAAGTTACACATGGTCATGCATCTCCTACTGGCCTCCTGCTAAAATTACACAGGCATCTCTGAACAGGAGCACAAGAGATCTTCATTGGCAAAGGGCAGCCTATTAATGTTGCAGCAATTCTGTACAGTTTTAAATGTTTTTATTGGGTTGGATCCTATGATTCCTTCTGTTAAATGAAAAATCTTCCATTAGAAGACAAGGGAATCCTTTTGAATCCAGCCTAGTGTTCCACGGTAATGATTAACTGCTTTATTATTGTAGCTAGTTACAGTATTTAACAACTGTCTTTGGTCTAAAGGTGCCATTGAACTCTAACTTAGTCTTTGGTCAAATATGTTAATAGTACCAGGCCTAGACAAATCTGGTTAGATCTAGGAGTCACCCCCAAGATTTAGGAGCCAGAATCAACCTCTGTGCAATATAGTCAATTCTCAAATTGTGGATGCTTTCCTCTATGTATCATGGGGAATACTGTTTTGTTCACTTATTATCAGCTTTTGCTTCCAGAAAGTTATAGTCATCCACAGCAAAATCCATGTGCCTACTTGCTTATGTGTGTTCCACAGTGTTCATTGTGCCCTACTACACACTAAACATGCATAGAGGATTACTGTTTTAAAAGTTTAACCCGTATGTATGGTCATTTGAAAGAAAATCTCACTTTGTGTGTGGGTTTTAAAAAAAAATTGATGGTGGCATCTTTTAATTGGGGGGGGGGGAGCAAGGTTCTGGGCGAATTTGACCCATGTGCCTTGAAGGAAAGAAGGACAAATGAATTTTTCTGCCAGATGACTACAGTGGCCCCCACTGCCAGCCTTTGCATAAGTATTTCTGTGTTGGACCCGGGTGCTAGGGGTCAACAGAGTCTCAGATATTAAAGTAGATATATATCAAGGTGACTGGGTAGACTTTAATGAACGAGTGAAAGCGGTTATTGTAATAGTCATAGATTTGTTTCTGCAAAGGGATGTTTTAACATATGAGATTGAAGAAAAAAGTTATAGATTATATAAACTATCTGGAATCTTGAGGCCTTGCTTTAACTAGTCATGTGGTTCTTTACAAGGCTTAGTTGCCTGTCTGACTGCTGGTGTCTTGTGTATACTGGAGCTTGCTCTACTTTCCCGTGATGGGACTCCTTGCCAGAGTTCCCGCTAAGCTGTACACATGAGCGGCCGCTCATTAACACAGGAAGCCCTGCCCTGCAGCAATCTGGAGCTGCACAGGGTCTTGCACTGCCCATTGCCTATAGCATACTGAATTCACTTCAAGGTGCTGGTTTCTTACCTTTAAAGCCCCTTATGGTCAGGGGCCTACATACCTGAGGGATCGCCTTTCCCCACATGTTCCCCAGAGAGCACTGTATTTAGGGTTCCAAAACCGTCTGGCCCTCCCAGGTTCCAAAGATGCCAGACTGGCCTCGACTAAGGCAAGGACCTTTTCAGTGGTGGCTCCGTGCTGGTGGAATGAGCTCCTGGAAGATACCATGGCCCTGTAGGACCTTTTACAGCTCCGCAGGGCCTGCAAGACGGAGTTCTTCCACCAGGCATTCAACTAAGGAGCCGCACCAAATAAATTTAAGACCTTGTGCCCTAATACCATCACCGACAATCTGTACACCGCCGATATGAATTGACATTGCTGATTGTACCGTCATTGTAATAATTGCTACTAATGCCACATCAGTGTTACACAAATGATATACCAACACTTTATTTTGTGTTTTATATTTATACTAGTAATAAGTCCCATTGTGGAAATAAATGCAACAAACTCTAGGAAGACGTTCTGGGAGAGTGCTCCGGCCTGCAGCAGACGGCCGTTCCCCCTCCCCGGCCGCGCCGACCGCTGTTGTGGCCGGAAGGCCAGGCCTCGCTTTGGGCAGGGTGGTGAGCCTGCTGCCCCCTGTCTGCTGGAGGCTGCCCACCCTGGCTGCTGGGCTGAACTGCATCCTGTGTCCCGCCACAGTGCTGTCCCCCCCCCCCCCCTCCCCCTACTGCTGCATGCGGGGCCCCGAGTAGGCATGGAGTCACCCCGGCCAGGTGGACGGGGAGTGGCATGGCATGGTGCCACCGTGGAGGCCTGGGCGGATTGCACTCCTCTGCCACCGCCCGCCCTCTGCCACCGCCGGATACCAGGCAGGACTGGAGCGGCTGTCTCTCTGGGTGGCCACTCAGCGAGTGAAAACTGTGGCGGCGGCAGCAGCAGGTATGCCTGGGGCCCCGGCAGCAGCAGCAGCAGGACTCTTGCCCCCGCTCTGCTACCCCCCCCCCCCCGTCTGCCTCCTCCTCCTTATCCCTCAATACAGTGCCACGGCTCCCTGGTTCCCATCCACATCCCCGGTAGGCTGCTCGATGGCTACATGGAGTGTCAGGGGGTCGAGCGTGGCTCCTCCTCCCAAATGAACAGTGGGTGGCGGATGGGCAGGCAGCGGTGTGCACTGCCCGTAGGCACCAGCTTCAGTGCAGGCCGAGGCCGGGTCAGGTGGAGCAGCAGGGACGGAGTCTCCGTCTTCTGAGCGCGCCGGTCGCAGTGGCAGGGCTGTGGGCGGGACTCAGGCAACGGAGTCAGTGACCTTCTGAGTGGCAGTTCAGGCAGCCAACTGATTTTGGCATGTATCGAAACTTGCCACTCCAAAACAGGATTATTATATAGGAGAGATTTATATTTGCTGTGTTTATCTGTTTTAAATTTTTTATGTGAGCCTGAGCCTGCTTTGGCGGGAAGGGCGGGGCATAAATCAAATAAATAAATAAATAGATTTTAAGATTAAAACAGTTAAATTCTGCTCAGGATGTGAACTGCTTTGCTCAGTGGGGGGCGGGGAATAGAGGGAACTTTGCTCTTCGCGTAAAATAATTTTCAGCAAAGAGCATGGGGCCTCTCACCCCTTTGTGTGAAATCATCTGACTGCATAAGTGTTCCGATCAACTTCAGTTAATGTAATGTAAACACTGCATATTTTACTTTTCAGTACATCTTTGGGGAATTCAGCCCCCAAGAATTTAATGACTTCTTCATGACTCCTCGCTGCTCTGTTGAGGTAAGAACTGTTTTCAATGTCTTACAGACAGTTAAACCTCACATGTTGAAAACTCCAGTGGCTCAAACTCACTGCTTCACAGAGCAATGAGCACCTGATATTGTCACCTGCTTTTATTTACTCCAAATATTGAGTGTGTTTAGTTTTACGGTAGCCGCTAACCAGTTTTCTCCTGAAAATTCACCCAATGTGTGACCTTTTTCAGCACTGTCTGCAATAAAAGGCTAATATGTATATCAAAGTGGGAATCTAGGTTACTGTTAACGAGGGTTTATAGCTGTGCCAACTTGAGCCTTAGCCATGGTTAACGTTGTGAGTGATTATATGCATAAAGGAGGAAAGGAATGTGTATGCACGTATGTTTAAAATGTTTAGTTGCCTTGGTGGCCCTTGTAAGGGCAGAAAGGTGGGATACGAATTCTGTAAATAAACAGACGTATGTTTGCATGCACTGCATGATCCTGTGGTCAGCTGCCTTGACCTTTGTTGACAGCTTGGAGCAGCATGACTGCATTGAATGGAAACAAAGCGATTTGTTGAAATCCTCTCTTCATGGTTGCATTTCATGTTTCTGTACAGCTGCCTCCCTACAATGAAACAATTTCGTGTGGCCTTAAGTCCACAGGAGAGCTGCATGATGGTAAGAAGCTGTTCTTAATGTTTCCCCGGACCTCCTAAAGTCCAGTATAGTGCAGACCGACTTCAGACTTCCATTTACCTTAAGGGAGTTATGAGATAGTTGTGAATGGTTGTGTGAGTGTATATGAATATTGCTGTAGATCACTGAAATGATTGCATCTTAATTTCGTTGTACTATGTACAATGACAATAAAGTATATTACTACTATTACTACTATTTAGACTGCAGGAAGACTGTTTTGCTTCAACCTTGCTAACTCGCTTGAATTTACTCATCTTCACATTCTGCAGTATCTCTAGGTAGAATTGCATCACTATTCCCCACTAGTCACCAGTTTGGGGTAGTGGTTAGGAGCGCAGACTCTAATCTGGGAGAACCAGATTTGATTTCCCACTCCTCCACATGCAGCTGCTGGCGTGACCTTGGGTCAGTCACAGGATCTTTCAGAGCTGTTCTCTCACGAGCAGTTCTCGAAAGAGCTCTCTCAGCCCCACCTACCTCACAGAATGTCTGTTATGGGGAGGGGAAGGGAGAGGAGTTTGTAAGCCGCTCTGAGACTCCTTCGGGTGGTGAAGGGCAGGGTATAAATCCAATCTTTTTCTCCTTAGCTTGTGATATTACGATTCCTTTTTAAAATCAACTACTTTTTGAGACTTCATGATAGCATGGTACCTGAAGGGAATATAATGCCTTTTAAATCCTAGGTGATTGAGTATTCCATATTGGTAGGATATAAATAATACACATTTCTGGATGTTGACATGTCATCAACATCCAGGGAGGGGTTCTGGCTCTGGAAGATCATCTGCTTCATGTACAGAAGGTCCCAAGTTCAGTCCCCAGCAGCATCTCCAGAATCTGATGTGAAAGACCTCTGCCTGAGACCCTGGAGAGCTGCTGCCAGTCTGAATAAACAGTACTGACCTTGATGGACCAAGGGTCTGATTCAGTACAAGGAAGCTTCATGTGTTCATGTATCTTTAAAGCTCTGTAACAATGGGGGAAATGCTTTTTTCTTAGAGAGAAAGATAGCACAACACTTTCTGTAATAGACATGGCTGGAAAAATCCCTGTGAGAGGTGCTGGGGAGTAGTGTTGGTGTGCCACTCGCTTTACCGGTTATTTTATAGGCCGCGCTCTCAGTCACATTTGGCTTCCAAAGTATCTGTTAAATATTGGCTTGGATCCTCCTAGGAGATTCATGGGTGCAAGAAGGGGATGGCCCAGAACACCCCTTGGAGTTCTGTTCCTGGGTAGATTGGGTGATCCCCAGGAATAACTGGGGGGGGGAGTTGGGGAGAGTTGTCCCCCAATGAAAGTTGAGACAGGATTCAAGTAATTTGTTATTTGCCTTCCTGTTTTATCACAGTCAAACAGTCCAAGAAGTCAAGAATGTCTTATAGGTGGCAACTTACATTTTAAATTGAACTGTGTTGTCATATTAATCAAGGGCAGGAGGAAGGACTGCTTGGCTAGGATAACCCTAGAAATATAGCAGAGCCACCCATACAGCCCACCTGTTATACGACCACAGGCATTCTGAAAGAGGAGCCAAGGAGTAATCAGTGGCGAAGGTCATCGTTCAAGCCTGTCCATTTCAAAATTCATTGCAACTTTCTAAGAAGCGGCTTTCATTCTTTTGCAGTTCACAGTTAGCTCACTTTTGTGGTTAGTTGTAACCGTCAATAGTTTGATTTTACGACAAAAAAAGAGACAATGGCTTAAAAATCATTTACCAACATTTGACTGGTCACTTGATGAAACCTTTTTGGAGACTGATCAAGTGTCCAGACAGTTTTTAGGTTTTGTATGTCTGGGTGCATTAAGAACATAAGAGACGTCAATGTTGGATCAGGCCAAAGGCCCATCCAGTCCAACCCTCTGTCACACAGTGGCCAAAAATACCAGGTGCCATCAGGAGGTCCACCAGTGGGGCCAGGACATTAGAAGCCCTCCCACTGTTGACCCCCCCCCCCAAGCACCAAGAAGACAGAGCATCATTTGCCCCAGAGCCTCTATCTATACCTTGTGGCTAATAGCCACTGATGGACCTCTGCTCCATATGCTTATCTAATTCCCTTTTGAAGCTGTCCATGCTTGTAGCCGCCACCACTTCCTGTGGCAGTGAATTCCATGTGTTAATCACTCTTTGGATGAAGAAGTACTTCCTTTTATCCGTTCTAACCTGACCGCTCAGCAATTTCATGGAGTGCCCACGAGTTCTTGTATTGTGAGAAAGGGAGAAAAGTACCTCTTTCTCTACCTGCTCTATCCCATGCATAATCTTATAAACCTCAATCATGTCACCCCCAGTCGTCGTTTCTCCAAGCTAAAGAGCTCTAAGCGCTTTAACCTTTCCTCATAGGGAAAGTGTTCCAATCCCTTTATCATTCGAGTTGCCCTTTTCTGAACTTTTTCAAACGCTATAATATCCTGTGTATTTATATTTAGGATTTTTGGCTCCAATGTGCATGACCTTGCCCTTGGCCACATTGAACCCCATTTGCCATGTTGACGCCCACTTGCCCATCCTTGACAGATCCCTTGGATTTCCCCAGCCTCATAAATGGGGCTATTGTTTGCTAACATGTTTTTTTGATTGGTGAGAGCTCTATAACATTCACAAAGAATCAGGCATGTTAAATAAAAGCTGTGAACATCCTGTGATTATTGGGCATCTTTTGGGCCAGTCGCTGCTGCTGTTCTATCCCTATGAGTATGTTGGAAAAACAATTAGGCTGCCCTTTTCAGGAACACTATGCCAATTTATGAGGAATATTTTAAAATTGTTTTGGATTTTTAAACTGTGATTTCTGGAAAACCAAATTTGTACTGAAGTGAGACCTGGTAGGCCTTCAGCAGGTCTTGGGTGTGTGCAACTTCATTGCAGCTGTTATGGTCTCACTAGCTTCTTTCTGTTTCTTCTTTCCTCCTGATCCCAATATATTAACAGAGGTTTGTGGTTTTTTTCCCATTCAGGGGAAGATTATAAGAGAATTGAATTTGGTGTTAATGAAGTTATTGAAGCAGATTTGACTGTGCAGAATAACAACGACTACAGTATTTCGAGTACTCTGAATCCTCAGGCGCCAGAATTCATTCTTGGTTGCGCACCTACCCAGAAAACGGCCAACGATGTACTCAACGAAGCCAACTATGATTCCGTTGATTGCCAGTTCACTGACCCTGCTCTCTCTTTGGACAGCGGTTCTAATGCTGAGAACGATGGCTTACCTGGAAGCCTTGGGCAAAGAGAGCGCAAAAAGAAGAAGAAACGACCCCCTGGATATTACAGTTATTTGGAAGATGTCAGTGATGGCATTGTTCCACCAGAGGCGTTGGTAAATGGGCATGCAAATTCACCAGGACTTAATAGCATAAGCACAGAGGATGTGGAACTTACAGGGGACCTGCCGTCAGTCGCCCCAAGGACTTGTAGCAGCCCTGAAAATTCTGTGGACTTCACTAGCGAAGCTGTGTCTGATGATTTGGTTTCTAGTGCTCTAGACACTACCAGGACTGCAGGGCAGCCTGAAGTATGCAGTGTTACTAATTTGGAACAGTCTTGCACCCCTTCTGAACCCGGAAGGGATAGCCCGTTAAGGACAGCTGTTGTACTGCCTTATGCTGGTACCGATACTACTGAAAACCTTGGCGTTACTAATGGACAAATACTTGAATCCTCTAGTGAGGGCCCAGCTGCCAATGGAGTAGACTTGCACGCTGTGGAAAGCACTGACTCAGACCAAGCTAAGCCCGAGAACGCTTCATCTACTACTGAGGCGCCCCCCCCTGTTTCAGGATCAGTCGCAGTTAATCAGCCTGCGAAATCGTGGGCTAGCCTCTTTCATAATTCCAAGCCCTCTGTTTCCACGCCTATGGCTTATGTGGAAACTAAATACACCCCTCCTGCCACGTCTCCCGTGGTTCCTGAGAAACAGGTTGAAGTCAAAGAGGGGCCTGTTCCGGTTTCTGAGGATCCTGTAGCCATAAAGATTGCAGGTACCGTTAACGTGCTGCAGGCTTGATCTGCAGAAAGAAGGGAAGCATAATCTAGAAAATGTTGGAGTGGGCCTGAAAGCTTTCATGGTGCGCATAAAGGTTCTAAAGGTTTAATTTGTCGAGACTGTTAAGTTCAGAAGCAAAAAACAAATCATTATCAAAGGGTTGGTGGAGCATCACTTCTCTCACTCAGAGTAATGATTTTGAACTTTCTGTAAATGTTGAGCTCATTTAGTACACAACTGTGGGCCGATAACTGAGTTGTTTCCATTGTGCATGCAGAGGCTTGCTCTGCTGTGTGCATACACACACATTAGTGAAAGGCTGAGTTTGTCTAGGCTGGAGCTGCTTTGTTTGCTTTTCTAGACCCAGCCTTTTGCTCTGAGGGGGAGATGGGAGGTCTCTCCATTTGGAAAGCCTTGCCAGCTCATCACCGAGAGTTTGCTGTGTCAGAAGGTCTTTGTTACTTTCAGTTTTCCCCTCCCATCCAGCACTGAGAGGGAGGCTCAGTCTCTTTTCATTGGGAGGGTCATACTCAGTTTGTGGTTAAAGGAGAGAGTGATTGCAGCTGCTCACTTATGCCTGTAATGAGATAGATAAGGGGTTGCCAACCTTTTTGAGCCTATGGGCACCTTTGGAATTCGAAGAAGGGGTGCTAAACACTAGTGTTCCTTCTAAGTTGAGTTAGTGTGAGCTACTTCACAGTTTTTTAGCCTCCGGCTCACACATTTTTGTCTCAGCTCAGGAAGGATAGCTCCAGAGCAAACTAATTTATGCAGTAGCCAAATTTCGCGCTCATGGCTTTAATGCCAGTAGCTCACAAAGTAGATTTTTTGCTCACAAGACTCCACAGCTTAGAGGGAGCACTGGTGAGCACCATTCCAAAATGGCTGCTACAAGAGGCGGAGCCCACCACATTACCTTCCTTCTCACTTTGCAAAGCATTGCAGAAGGGCAATAAAAAGAAGGGAAGGGAAGCCGGAGGGAAGTAAAATAAATTGTGGATTTAAAAGCAATGAAGAATAGCCTAAGGCTGGATTGAAACCACATATTGACTAAGGAAAGCTTGGATGTTTATTAGTTCTTGACCTCCAGTTGCTGCAGCTGTTATTGCAGCTGTGGCAACACTTTCATTTGAATGAGGGCAGTCAGTAACAATCTCTGCCTTACGAAGGCCCTGTTCACTTTCTGAAAAGCTCAGCGGGCTCCATGGCACCCATGAGCCCCGTGTTGGGGAATCCTGAGACAGTCAGTGCAGCATGAGATTATTTTACTCCTTGGTGTAGCAGCCATTGGGTCAGCCGTCAGATGTTTGTTTGGTTCTTGAACCTTGCTCACAGCATGGGTCACACAGTATCACACTATAGTTGTGTGAAGGTTGTATTGCTTCCCTTACTATGGGCACACTTAGTTGGCGGTCTTGTGCTGCCCCAGCCAGCGTTTTAAACTGTAGTTAAGTAGAACTGCCATATATCTTTAAGAGCAGTGGTTCCTGGGAATTGAAGTCTTTAGTTAGACATCCCACAGCATCCGGCACACAGAGGCGCGAGGATTCGAGTTTACAGCTCTCTTCCTGTGGCCTTTGTTCTCTTTAAACGGCAAGGAGTTGGGGACACACAATCTTTTTCACCATGAGCCAGTGAACTAAATTAGATTACAAAAGATGTGAGTCTCATTTGGCATAGTATAACTGGCAGGCACAGGGCTGACTCCATACCCTCCAGTGGCTGCCTCACTAAATGTGCCACTCCTGTTTGGAGTGTAGCTGTTCCTGCTCCTTTGAAACCTGCCAGGGCTAAAAGGAGTGTGTGAGTCATGCTGTGCTCCCTCCGGCAGCTCTCTGACCTAGAAATGGGGCCTCACTCCAGAAGCCCCTGCAAAGTCATAGGGGCCTGTGGGTATTGTCTCTTACTTCCGGTGGGGAAGCAGCAGATTGTCACTTGTTTTAGCCCTGCAGACACCAGGCAGAAGAATTGTGCTTCATTCCAGCTGTGAGCAGCAAATGCCATCGCTGCCTCTGGTAGCAACTGCCAGCCATTGCTGCACATTCAATCTCGAGCAAGTGGCCAGCAGCCAAGATCAGCTGCTGACTCACCTGGGCTACCTTTGTGCTCTAGCAGGTTGAGAATGGGAGAGAAGGTACAGCATGTCACGGCAGCAAAGAGGGGCAGTACTCCAAGTGAGCCCAGTCTCTGCAGCCATCCAGGGAGGTAAAGGCAGGCTGTGTCTGTTTCCAAGGTCTTGTGGGTTGGGTAGATGTGGTTTTGGAGGATTACAGTTGGCCCTCCTGATTCAGCGAGCCCGACAGCTGCCCGATGATGCTGTCCCTCAGTGCCAGTCCTGGGAAACCACTGTGCAGAGTGCGAAGAAAACCTGGAGCAGCTGTTCCTCTGTGCATATATAACTGCCTCAAAGCTACAATAAACCAGGAAGCTGCATCCCTGTAGCCTAGGGGTCCTCAACCTTTCTGAGGGGTGGGCATCTTTGGAATTTTGAAACAGTGTGGTGGGCGCCACCACAAAATGGCTGCCATGAAAGGGTTGTGGCAGGAGGTGAAGCCAGACACAGAATGGCTGCCGAGCTTACCTGCAATCACACAGCTGCCGCCGAAGCAACTTTAAAAAAAAATCCGCAGAGCCCATCAAATTCAGAAGCTTTGTTGGGCAAAAGCCCCACCCGGCCCCATCCACTTTGTAAAATCGCCTGGTGGGCGCCAGTAAAGTTGTTGGAGTGCACTATGGCACCCACGGGCAGCAGGCCTGGGGTCCTGCTGTAGGCAGCTGTTGTACGAAGACTTGACTGTTCTAGATGGAGAGTGTTCTGTATGAATTGCAGAATATCAGTAGCCTGAGTGCCGAAGGGTTCACCTTCCTGCAATGGTGTTTAACTGACTTCCTGTCTCATGCTGATATGTTTGTGCCAGCTTGATATTCTTTTATTGCTAGATAGAAATATTTTCCTCTGCGAACACTGCCCTGCGTATCGTGATAGTGCCATCCTAAGCAGAGGTAAAATTAGTGGGCTCGGCAGGGTGTAACGCTGCTTAGGATGGTACTGTAACACCCATAACGTTGTCGTTCCAGTGGGTAGCAGTAGAACATGATATGAGTCCAGTTGTTAAGACATCAACAAGATTTTTGGGGTATAAGGTTTTGAGAGTAAAGAGCTGACCAAGGGAGTGCTGACTCTCAAAAGCATGTACCCTGAAAATCTTGGTGTTTTTCGAAGGTGTTACTGGATGCCAGTCTGGCTGCTCTAAAAGTTGTACTATTCCAGTCACAGCCGATTCTAAGGCTGTCATTTTTAATTTGTTCAGAATTTTTAAAACAAAAATCTAAAACAGTGTATGCGTGTGTGCTTGTTAACAAGTCCTGTGCATGTTTGTAGTATGTACTGTGGTTTTAAACTTTGCTGAACTCTTACAGGAAATTTGAAAAAAATGTACTGGATTTTGATCATATATGGGTTATCTGACTATTGACACAATGCACTAACTGGGAAATGTGAATACACGGAATTCTTGGTGTGTGGAACAGAGGGGCGGAACAAAGGCCAAGAGCTGGTATAATCAAAGGATAAAAACGCAGAGTTAACAGCATTTTTGAGACAAAGGAATTAGATCGGCTTTGTGCTATCTTGTTGACTGTGATTTTGTCTAACAAAAGGAAAATAACTTCTGCTTAGAATGCTAACTGTTAACAGGTCAGTGTGGCAATAGTGTCAGATGTTTAAACCTGTTTTATTTCTGTATTTTAAGGTGTTTACTTTGATTTTGTATTCTTTAGAAAGCAGAAGTGTAAGGTGGTTCTCCACCCATGCGCTTTCTCCCACTGAGTTGCTTTGCCAGTATATTTTGGCATGACTTTTAATTGCTTTTTAAACTTTTAAATTAGCAGAACAGGTTGTGTAAGAGTCTTTGTAAGAGTCCATTACATTAATTGAATTGTGTTTTGTGTCCTATCACGGTCTTGGTCCTGGAACGCTTTGCTATTGAGTTAGCCCAACTCTGCCAGTTTTCTGATAACAGGCCAGAGCAATATATTTAGACATCATAAATTCACATCATGACCTCACATCGTGACTTCATATCACATCACATTCTTCACTGTACTTCTTGTGGTTCTCCCGTCCACATATCTATGGAGATGCAACACAAAAGCATGGACTTTAGAATGCAGAAGTTTCTGCTCCCTAATTCCCCTCAGCAAAAGAATTATCTTGTGTAAGTATTTACCTATTAAAGTGAACATCTTAGAGCAGCTCTGGGAAAGACCTCCAAGACAAATTTTGAAATGTTTGCCTCACCTGTAAATAGGTAGGAAATTGAAAGGCATTTCTGGCAAACATGGCGAAGCCTAATGAAATGTGTGAAAACACTGTGTGGAAATTCAGTTCTTTACCACAAGAGGATGCTAAAGTCCTTTATGATTCCTTCTCCACAGTTGTCAAGGTCCCTGCTCAGTTGAACCAAATTCTTTCATGTTTCTGAATGCTTGTTTTATAAGTATTGTGTTCTTCATTTGACAGAGTTGCTGGAAAATGTAAAGCTAATACATAAACCAGTGTCCTTGCAACCACGAGGGCTGATCAATAAAGGAAACTGGTGTTACATCAACGCTGTATCCTTGCTTTGGGGGAAAACCCCCCTGCTCTCCAAGTTTATTAAATGTTGCTGTGTGATTGTCATTGTTGAACACCATAGATCCCTTTATTAGAATCTGTCAACAGAAAGATTGCTGTTTTACAATACGTGAATGTGTACAGTATAGGCTGTGGTTGGACCCAGTTGATATAATTGTAATTGTTAATTGGATTCCTTAGGGCATAGATGCGCACAGCATTTTAACTGTTTTGCCCAAAGACTAGTTTTGTGAAGTGTGTGTGTATGTGTAAAATGCTTCTGGCTATCTTTATTAACTGGCTCCTTAATGCAGTTCTGTAGACACTGCAAGCTTTGGTTGCTTGCCCTCCTATGTATCACCTAATGAAGTCCATTCCAATGTATTCAAAATCCCAGCGGCCGTGTACATCAACACCAATGATAGACAGCTTGTAAGTAAATTGCCAGTAAGGTATAATATTTGTTTTACAAAAGGGAGGCAATATTTGTTTGGTTTTAAAAACATGTATATCCTGCTTTTCCTTGTGGTTCAAGTTGGCTTATGGTAATAGTTAGAATATTTGCGAGAATGGGCACAGTAATAAGACCAATGAAAAAAGGAAAAAGAACTGTGACAATTTAGCGCTTAGTAATATATTCATAAATCATAATATACAATAACAGAAATTAAGTAATATATATATAGTGAATGTAGACGGTGGTCTCCGGAATGGTGTGCCGTTTCGACAATGATCTTCTTCTGAACAAGGGTGTGTACAAAAACTGTCTTTCAACAATTCATTTCTCTCGGTGACGTATTGTAAATATACTGTTGATTCACTTCATCATGAGGCTATGCTATGTTCTTCAATGGGCTATAATTCCTGAATGGCACACCATTCCGGAGACCACCGTCTACATTCACTATATATATATTACTTAATTTCTGTTATTGTATATTATGATTTATGAATATATTACTAAGCGCTAAATTGTCACAGTTCTTTTTCCTTTTTTTATGGTAATAGTTAACCATTTCAGTTAAAACCAAAAATAATAAACCCTAAATGTCTCCTCCCCGCTCTTAAAGAATGCCTGCCATTCAAACCCCCTCAAAAGCTCTGGCAAACAGGCTGGCCTTGCAGTGCCTCTTGAAGGCCTGGAAGGAGGGGGGTCCCTCACCTCTTTCATAAAACCGGAGCCATGACAGGAAAGGCCCAAGCTCTGGTCACTTCCAGACCTTGTGGCTAGAGTTGCCTCCTGGGAATGAGAAGACCCTACTTCAGATCCCTGTTTTGCTGTGAAGTTCACTGATGACGTGGGGCCAGTCACTCTCAGCTTGGTCTTCCCCACAAGGTTACTCTGGGCTTGGTTGTTTTTCATTGTTGTGACCCCTTCCCCTTTGCTAGACCATACGAAGTGTTCCTATTCCCCACCTTATATGCGCACATGAAACAAAAGTAATGGAAGCCAAAGCCACAAGTCTTCTCTCCAACAAAGATGCCCACCTCTGCTGTAGGAAAGAAACTACTACAGATATTGCTTTTGAGCTCTTCAGCTGTGGATGATCACCTGTAAAGCCGTATTGACACTTAGAAGGGAGATTGTGATGAAAAGGGGAGAGCAGTAAACTAGCTGTTGTGCCTCAAAATGATGCGCATGTTGAAATCTACAATTTGTATGAGCCTTGCCCATTTCAGACACCCTCATGTTCATGGCCAGGTACTGCTGTGACGAATTTCTTCTAGTACCCATTACTGTCTTTGTAGCTGACACTCATTTTCTTTTTGCTCCACTTCAGTGTCCGCTTAATGAACGAGTTTACAAATATGCCGGTTCCGCCTAAGGCCAAACAAGGTAGGTGTAGAAAGTATCAACTACTAACTGTTTGCATCTTGGAACTGGGCAGCTGAATGAAGCCTTTGTGCACGACTGCCAAAGCAGTACAGATTGACTCGTTCCAAGATGTTTGTGTTATATAAAAATTTGCCTTTCTGTATGGAAGGGATGGGGAACATCTTTGTGGCATCTTTTTAGGAGTTCCCCTGAAATCAGACCTGGTTTGAGGAGAGCAAACTAGGTGTGGTGCTGTTTCATCCTCCTTAAGATGAATTGTAGCCGTTTTTAATCCAACTGTAGTTTGTTGTGACAGTTTCCTTTGTTGGTGAGGGAGAAGAAGCAGACTTTGCTGTACTTAGCCATTATTTCCAACTTTGATTTATCACTGCAGTTCTGCAGTCTGTCCGTCCATCCCCCCTGAAAAATCAGCCAGTGTTTCTCTTTTAGCGCTGATCCGTTAACCTCAGCACTTGCTGTTTTCTGTGATCCACTTGTAGGCTTCCTTACAGTGAGCTGTTGGCAGTCTAGTACTGAAAATACGGTTTGTCTTCAGAGCAAACCTGGTAAAGAAGAATGAAATAAACCCTAAACACTGCTGATACTTAGAGGTCCTGACCAATGTTCCCTCTAAGCTGTGGAGTCTTGTGAGCAAATATTCTACTTTGTGAGCTGCTGGCATTAAAGTTGTGAGCGAGTGATTTGGATACTGCATGAATTAGCTTGCTCTGGAGCCATCCTTCCTGAGCTAAGACAAAAATCTGTGAGCTGGAGGCTAAAAATCTGTGCGCTAGCTCACACTAACTCAGCTTAGAGGGAACACTGGTCCTGACCATGTCTTGAGCAGGAGTGCATGTTTATGATGGGAATAAATTTTAATATTGATGATGGTGGAGCATTCACGTGCCCATATCATCAAGAAGCCGGCCTTTAAAGCTATTCCCCTTGATAAAACTGTCCGTCCTTCTTTTTTGCCTTGCAGCTTTAGGTGATAAAATTGCAAGGGATATCAGGCCTGGAGCTGCCTTCGAACCCACATACATTTATAGGTTGCTGACAGTGATCAAGTCGAGTCTGTCAGAAAAGGTGAGTCTGTGATCCTTAAGGTGATTTCCCCCTCAGAGAAAATGTAGAAATTCTATGCAAATCCAGCTGACGGAGGACTAGCTTGTGGAAGCTCCATTTCAGGTATCCTCTTTCATCAAAGCCAGTATCGCTTATGCTGACGGACTTACACCGGTCCTTTTTGAAACCAATGGAGCAAATTTAGAATGGATGGATTCTTAAGTGATACAGTCTTGGAAGAAAGAGGGTATTTGAAACAGAGTTTCCACAAGCTAGCTGGATTCGCATGGAATTTCTACATTTTATCTGAAAAAGGACATGAACCGAATGTTGAAATAGCACTTTTTGTACTTTACTATGACCGGTTGCCAGATATTTGTTTGGCTGTCTTTAAGCATAAGAACATAAGAGACGCCAATGTTGGATCAGGCCAAAGGCCCATCCAGTCCAGCATTCTGTATCACACAGTGGCCAGAAATACCAGTGCCATCAGGAGGTCCACCAGTGGGGCCAGGACATTAGAAGCCCTCCCACTGTTGACCCCCCCAAGCACCAAGAAGACAGAGCATCACTTGCCCCAGAGTCCCTATCTATACCTTGTGGCTAATAGCCACTGATGGACCTCTGCTCCATATGCTTATCTTAATTCCCTTTTGAAGCCGTCCATGCTTGTAGCCGCCACCACTTCCTGTGGCAGTGAATTCCATGTGTTAATCATTCTTTGGGTGAAGAAGTACTTCCTTTTATCCGTTCTAACCTGACTGCTCAGCAATTTCATGGAGTGCCCATGTGTTCTTGTATTGTGACAAAGGGAGAAAAGTACCTCTTTCTCTACCTGCTCTATCCCATGCATAATCTTATAAACCTCAATCATGTCACCTCTCAGTCGTCGTTTCTCCAACCTAAAGAGCCCTAAGCGCTTTAACCTTTCCTCATAGGGAAAGTGTTCCAACCCTTTTATCATTTGAGTTGCCCTTTTCTGCACCCTTCTTTATTGCAGTCACACACTGTCTCGACATTTTCAGTGAGTTATCCACTACAACTCCAAGATCTCTCTCTTGCTCAGTCTCTGCCAGTTCAGACCCCATCAATGTGTATTTATATTTAGGATTTTTGGCTCCAATGTGCATCACCTTGCACTTGGCCACATTGAACCCCATTTGCCATGTTGACGCCCACTCGCCCATCCTTGACAGATCCCCTTGGAGTGCCTCACAATCCTCACTGGTTTTCACCACCCTGAACAACTTTGTATCATCCGCAAATTTAGCCACTTCACTGCTTACTCCCATCTCCAAATCATTAATGAACAAGTTAAAAAGCAGTGGACCAAGTACTGATCCCTGCGGTACCCCACTGCTTACCACCCTCCACTGAGAAAATTGCCCACCTACACTCACTCTCTGTTTTCTATGAACTAGCCAGTTTTTGATCCATAAAAGGACTTGTCCTTCTATCCCATGATTTTTGAGCTTACTTAGGAGCCTTTGATGAGGAACTTTATCAAAAGCTTTCTGGAAGTCAAGGTAAATAATATCTATTGGATCCCCCTTGTCCACATGTTTGTTCACCCCCTCAAAGAACACTAACAGGTTAGTGAGACAAGATCTTCCCTTACAGAAACCGTGCTGAGTCTGCCTCAATAGGTTTTGTTCATCTATGTGCCTACTAATTCTTTCCTTAATAATGGTTTCCACCAATTTACCCGGTATCGACGTCAGACTGACTGGCCTGTAATTTCCCGGATCTCCTCTGGAACCCTTTTTAAAGATGGGAGTGACATTAGCTACCTTCCAATCCTCAGGAATGGAGGCAGATTTTAAGGAAAGATTACATATCTTTGTCAGGAGATCTACAAGTTCACATTTGAGTTCTTTCAGAACTCTCGGATGTATGCCATCTGGGCCTGGTGATTTTTCAGTTTTTAAGTTGTCTATCAGTTTTAGGACCTCCTCTCTCGTCACCTCAATCTGACTCAGGTCTTTCAACACCCCTCCTGAAATCAGTGGTTCTGGAGTGGGCAAGCACTTCTCATCTTCCACAGTGAAGACGGAGGCAAAAAATGCATTTAGCTTCTCAGCCATTTCCCTATCATCCTTCAATACTCCTTTTACCCCTTGGTCGTCCAAGGGCCCCACTGCCTCCCTGGCTGGTTTCCTGTTTCTAATGTATTTGAAGAAAGTTTTATTGTTGGTTTTTACGTTTTTTGCTATATGCTCCTCATATTCCCTTTTTGCCTGCCTGACCTCAGACTTGCATTTTATTTGCCATAGCCTGTGTTCCGTTTTATCAGCCTCACTGTGACTAGCTTTCCACTGCTTAAAGGAATTCTTTTTACTTTTTACAGCCTCCATTACTCTGTTTGTTAACCATGCAGGCTTTTTCCTATACCTGTTTGTGCCTTTCCTAACCTGCGGAATATATATTTTTTGAGCTTCTAGGATCGTAGTTTTAAATAGATCCCAAGCTTCCCCAATTGTTTTGACCCTTTCTACTTTTCCTTTCAGTTTCCTCCCCACGTGTCCCCTCATATCAGAGAAATTACCCCTTTTAAAGTTAAAAATGGTTGTGTGAGTCTTTTTGGCCAATTCTCTATTTGTACAAATGATGAACTCAACAACATTATGATCACTGTTTCCAAGCGGTGCAATCACTTTTACATCTCTCACCAGGTCTTGAGTGTTACTTAGGACCAAATCAAGGATCGCCTCTCCCCTGGTAGGTTCCGTGACCATCTGCTCCATAGCACAGTCATTTAGAGTGTCTAGAAACTCAATCTCTTTTTCCCGGCTAGAACACATATTGACCCAATCAATGTGTGGGTAGTTAAAATCACCTATTATTACACAGTGTTTTTGTCTAGTTGCTATCTTTAAGGCATTCATCATTTTATAATCCTCCTCTATCTTTTGATCTGGTGGGCGATAACAAACTCCCAGTGTTAAGTTTCCTTTTGGCCCCCCTATTTCAACCCATAGAACTTCCAGAAGCGAATCCAATTCACTTAGCCTCTCAATCTTTCTAGACTTTATACCCTCTCTGACATACAGAGCTACCCCACCTCCAACCCTTCCCCCCCTATCCTTCCGATATAATATATAACCGGGAATCACTGTGTCCCACTGATTTTCCTCATCCCACCAAGTTTCAGAAATACCCACAATGTCTATTTTTCCCTCCGACACCAAGCACTCCAACTCCCCGATTTTACCTCGGACACTTCTAGCATTTGTATAGAAACAGCTGTAATTTCCCTTACAAGTTAAGCCTGCATCCTTCCTCTTGCTATCTCGAGTCGTTGTCCGGCAGTCCATGTCACCAGCCATGGCCTCTGTGGACAATTTCAATCCACCTCCCTGTAGAAAAGCAACAGGTACCCCCTCATCTCTCTGAGATGAGCCAACCCGAACCAGAGACTTTTCATCTCCTGTCGGCTTTCCCCCAATATTCAGTTTAAAAGCTGCTCTGCCACCTTTTTGATTTTAAGCGCCAGCAGCCTGGTTCCTTCTCGGGACAAGTGGAGACCGTCTCGCCTGTACAGCTCCCTCTTGTTCCAAAAAGTATCCCAGTGCCTAACAAACCTGAACCCTTCCCCCCTACACCATCGTCTCATCCACGCATTGAGACTCCTGATCTCTGCCTGTCTCTCCGGCCCTGCGCGTGGAACAGGTAGCACTTCTGAGAAGGCTACCTTGGAGGTCCTGGACCTAAGTTTCCTGCCCAGCATCCTAAATTTCTCCTCCAGGACCTCACGACTGCATTTCCCCACATCGTTGGTGCCGACATGCACCACGACCACTGGCTCCTCCCCAGCACTATCTACCAGCCTATCTAAAACACGCGTAATGTCCGCTACCTTCGCACCAGGCAGGCAAGTCACCATACGGTCAGTACGTGGGTTCGCCACCCAGCTGTCTACCTGCCTAAGGATCGAATCACCCACTACCAAGAGCCCCCCTCCCACCCTGCCCAGGGATGGTTCCTTGGTGCAAAAGGATACCCGCTCACCTGCTCACAAAAAAAAAAATTGTACTGGAACTTTCAGTCTTAGTATTGCATAAGTATTGATAATCAGTACACAAAAAATTGTTGTATAACTTGCATTTATGAATTACAATAAGATATAATACGATAATAAGAGTTTATAATAAATTTTCAGAGCATAATGTTTTTGGTAGATTATTTCTGTGATTCTTTATTCCTTAAGCTTTAATTTCTCCAGCAGGGTGGTGGTGGTGGAATTAGTTTGGACATTCAATGTGAGCAGGTGAAAGGAAATTCACAGAGTCCATTTCCTGTTTAGTAGGCCTTGCCCCAAGTTTCCATACCTACCTTTGGCCATCATTGTAGTTTTTAAAAGAACAGTTCAAGGGTTCAGTGTGGAGAAATGCTGGGAAGCTTTAATTCTAAAATCCCAGGTTGGTGTGTGCCTGTGTGCCTTGGCTCAAGCTTTTGAGGGTGAGCTAGTCTGTAAACCGTCCAGTGTTGGAGAAAGGGTGGCTGTTCTGAACACCTAAACTTTTATTCAGGGCAGACAAGAAGATGCAGAAGAATATCTGGGATTTATTCTAAATGGACTACATGAGGAAATGTTGATTCTGAAGAAACTGCTGTCTCCACAGAATGAAAGTAAGAATTTTAAAAAGGCAAATGTGTATTTTGTCTGTCTGTCCTCTCCACTACTGACCTTAATGGCACAGGCTAGCCTGCTCTTGTCAGATCTTGGAAGCTAAGCAGGGTCAGCCCTGGTTAGTATTTGGATGGGAGACCACCAAGGAAGCCCAGTGTTGCTACACGGAGGTGAGCAAAGGCAAAACCACCTCTGTTCATCTCTTGCCTTGTAAACCTTATGGGGTTGCCATATGTTAGCTGTGGCTTTTATTTTGTATTTTTGCATATTGTGTGCCCGTGCCTGGAACTCATGGCGACCTCTGCCAACTCCTACTGGGGCACAGAGGGCATTCAGAGAAGTGGCTTGTTAGTCTGCCTCTGGCCTCCCAGCCCTGGTATTCTCTGGAGGTCTCCATTTTATTTATTTATTTATTTCATTTATTAATTGCCTGTCCCCATAGTTGTGGGGTTCTAGGCTTGGGGTGTCAAACATGCGGCCCGGGGGCCAGATCAGGCCCCCGGAGGGCTTCTATCAGGTCCGCAGTGGAACTGGCTCTCTTCTGCTGCGTCTTCCAGTTCTGCTGCTGCTGCTGCGTCATCTTAGGTTTGCAGCTTACAGATACACACCTGAACAGCATACTCAGGACTGCAACAGCACAGACATTTTGATGCAATAATTCAGAGCAAGAGGTGTCAGTTATCACACTGTTAAATAAACAAAATATTGCAAGAGTGCTAATGTTTTAAGCATGTTTTTATTTTAAGTTAAAAAAAGGCCCTTTGTGTTTGTGTCCTTTATAAAGTTTATATGCCTCCGCTACCTGGCATTACATTTTATGACATACATGGCCCAGCCCAACAACGTCTCATTTATGTAAGATCCAGCCCTCGTAACAAATGAGTTCGACACCCCAGTTCTAGGCAATGTACATCCAAATACTTGCCAGGGTTGGTCCTGCTTAGCTTCCGAGATCTGATGATATCAGGCTTGTCTGGGCTATCCAGGGTAGGACTAAGCCGGCTGTGACGTGATGGCACTCATCACTACATCTTAGAATGAACCTAGTGACTTGTGCCAATCAAAGAAGCAGTAAAACCAGACAAGTTTGGGGTTTCTGCATATTTGATTCGAGTGTACAGAAAAATGTGGAATTGTGAATGAACTGACATTGGCGCCCCTCCCCCCAGCCATTTACTGAGGACCAGTTGTGTTCAGAAGTTAAGAGTACTGAGACAACTGAGTGTCAGGTAAGAGCAATGCTCCCTCTAAGCTGTGGAGTCTTGTGAGCAAAACGTCTACTTTATGAGCTACTGGCATTAAAGTTGTGAGTGAGCGATTTGGCTACTGCATGAATTAGTTTGCTCTGGAGCCCTCCTTCCTGAGTGAAGAGAAAAATGTGTGAGGCAGAGGCTAAAAAACTGTGAGCTAGCTCACACTAACTCAGCTTAGAGGGAACAGTGGTTAAGAGGTAGGGGAGAGATTGAGAAATTGAGCACTTAAGAGTTTAAGAGTCCTAAAGGGGGTGGGATTTCCAGATAATTTCTCCTCTTACTTTGTTTGGAAACTTGAAATAGCGTATTCACACACTGATTATTCCTCATGGGCTGCACCTTGTAAAGATGTTATTCATAACCATGGTAGCAGTCACATTTGGGTGCTTAAATTATAGTTAATCATTTGGTTTAAAGGAAAGCTATAATACTGTTGTCACTATTCACATGTAACAAGCCAGAAGGATCCTTAGGCTTTAGTACTTCCATCTGCCTTCACGTGCAGCAGTCTAAAGTGGATAATTCTGGTTTTTTGGTAGTTTGCGGCTGTGGCCAAAATAACAAATGGGGGGGCGGGGGGTTGTTCGCCCTGCAAACCAGATTTAGTCCTAATTTGAATCCTTGACTGTAGGTTGAATATAAAGCACAACTTGCCAGTTCATGCATAATAAATACAAAAACTGAGGGTCACAGTGTTAGGAAGATATGCAAAAGTATATAGCACTGTGTATAATGTATATTCAAGGTAAATCAATGTTGTGCTTTTTATTGTTATTTTCCTATGTTATATAAATATTGGTATCAAATGTTATCAAAAATAGGTTTCACCCAAACAAAACATCAAAGTGCATGTTTACATTCTGTGCAAATATTCAGACAGCACCTTGTCAGTATCACAATCACTAGTCCCACGGGACTCTAGTAATTTACCTGCTTCGAATACAATCTTTTTCAAGGACTGTGATATATATAAAGAACATAAGGCACAATAATTTCTCTTTGTCAGCACCAAAACTCTTATAGCAGCATATTTTCCAGGGTCCTATCAGAACCCTTGAGGCAGACATAATAACCTATCTAGGATAGCTTATTCCTCAAGTTCTACCTGATAGAACTTGAGGGATATGCTATCCTAGATAGGTTATTATGTCTGCCACAAGGGTTCCGATGGGACCCTAGAAAATATACTGCTATCTTAACAGTTTTTGTGCTCACAAAGAGAAATTACTGTATTTGAAACTGGTAAATTACTAGAGTCCCCTAGTGATTGTGATACTGACAAAGTTAATGCAGAATGGCAAACTGTAGTTTGCTGTTAGATTAGAAGTCTCCTCAAATCTTAACCATTGCGAAGGCATAAAACCATATTTGGGGTTTACCATTTTTAAGTATTTATATCTGCAGTGAACCAACGATGAAATAGAGCAGCAATTCTGAAACTGTTGCCTGAAGAGGTGGAAGGATAGACAGGAGAGGATATTTTACAGTCGTCATTTAATGCAGTATTCCTTGTTGCATGTGGGAAAGCTTCTTGATAGAAAAGGCTGCTGCCACTTCTTAATCAAAATTGCCCTCCTCGTGTGCATTTCCCATTTATAGAGATAGTGATGATTATGTGCAGAGATGAAATAAATGTACTTTTTTGTCTTCCCAAGAACTTCTGGTTTCTAATGGCCCAGAATCAACTCCTGTGCATGAAGAGGAGAAACAAGAGGAACAAGGTGAAGGCAGTGAGGATGAATGGGAACAAGTTGGACCACGCAACAAATCCTCAGTTACTCGTCAGGCTGATTTTGTCCAGACGCCAATCACTGATATATTTGGTGGTCACATAAGGTACTTTTCAATTCCATATGGTTAAGTATACTGGCTGTGTTTCTGTTGAGAGATAAGAGAAAAGTGCTGTCTTTCTTTTCCAACCTCTAGCTGGATTTCTTGGTATAACCTTCCCTCTAAGTTAGGGTTGCCAAATGAAATTCGTCCGGGAGCGGGGGGCTCCCAGACGGTGTCCTCTTTGTTTTCCCCTCAAATGGCGTCGCCCCGCCCCCAGCGTGTGACGTCACTTCCAGGTGACGCACACGCGGGGGTGGGGTTTCCCCCGGGCCCCAATTCCGCGGGAGCGGGAATCGGGGCTCGAAACCGGGGGGAATTCCGCCCCCCGGGGGGATTTGGAACCCCTACACTAAGTAGACTTTGGGGATTGAAATTTGAGAGCTGGTCAACCAAGGAGCCTCCTTTGGCAGGGAAGGTGTGGGTATAAATCGAACTAATAAATATAATTAAATAAATAAGGAATACTGAATTTGCAGTAAAAGCTGCCTTCTGTGACAATAAGCTTTGGTGGTGGGCTCATCATTTTATATCTTTAGTAAAGGTTTAAAAGATTAAATGATTATACTATATTTTCATAAAGGAAGGTGACCTTGAATGTAAAACAGCCCACTAAAGAGTTATACACCCCAAAACACACACACACACACACACACACGAATTTACTGGGCATAATTGTAACTTGTATGTGAATGTAGGGGCTGCGGTAGCTCAGAGGTTAAGGTGCTGAGCTGCAGACCGGAAGGTCTGTAATTCGGCAGTTCGAGACCCTAGTGCCGCATGACGGAGTGAGCTCCCGTCTCTGGCCCCAGCTCCTGCCAACCTAGCAGTTTGAAAGCAAGAAATTGCAAGTAGATAAATAGGTACCACTTCTGTGGGAAGGTAACAGCGTTCCGTGCGCCTCGGCATTTAGTCATGCTGGCCACATGACCATGGAAACGTCTTTAGACAGTGCTGGCTCTTCAGCTTGGAAACGGAGATGAGCACCGCATCCCTAGAGTCAGATTTGACTAGCTTTCGAGCAAGGGAAACTTGTTACCTTTTATGTGAATGTAATATGATACCCCCCCCCCCTCAATAGTATGCCTCGGGGGGAAAACCTAGTATTGAGTTGGAGTAAATGCTTTATACAGTTATGTAGACTTAACGCCCCCCCCCCCCCCCCCCCTCTATTCTTTTATTCTTTTAACTGAATAGGATTTGAAAGTCAGAGTTACGGCCATAAGGGGACATGCACAAGTATCCCATTCTGCATAAAAATATTAGCATGCTGAAAGTTCACGTCCGCAAGTTGATGGAGGGTCAGTGTCATGTCCTGCTGTGTGGTAATGTCTTTATGATCAGAGAAAGATTGTGCCCCACTGTTTCCCAGAGTCTTTTCAGTTCATCAGTTGGTTGCTTGGCCATGAGAAAATATTCAGTGGTTTTCTCATTACAGTGGGGCTCAGTCCAGTGACTCCTTTTCAGTCAGTGAGTATTCTTCCTCTGATGGAAGTTCCCCTTCCACTAAGGGGAAAGTCTTCCCTCTGGCCCACACACTCTAATGTAAAAGGTAAAGGTTCCCTTGCTCGAAAGCCAGTCGACTCCGACTCTAGGGTTGCGGTGCACATCTCCGTTTCAAAGCCGAAGAGCCAGTGCCATCTGAAGACGTTTCCGTGGTCATGTGGCTGGCATGACTAAACACCAAGGCGCACGGAATGCTGTTACCTTCCCACCGAAGTGGTGCCTATTTATCTACTTGCAATTTCTTGCTTTCGAACTGCTAGGTTGGCAGGAGCTGGAACTAGAGACGGGAGCTCACTCCGATATTGGGCACCCGGGTCTCGAACTGCTGAACTACCGAACTTTCACCACCTGCAGTATATCTGCTTGTATTGGGATACTCCATTTTGTTTTGCTTCTGTTAAAACCCCGCAAGTTGTATTGCATCACCTCAAATTCTAGCACACATCCCCAAAAGGAGGACAGGATTTGCTATAGAAATAAATTTCCCGAACTGCTTGGCTTCAACTGCTTGAGCTGCATTTGGCTTCCTAGCTATAACTTGGCTGCTCCTATGAATAGTATGTAAACAGAAACAACACATCTTCTGATCTCTGTTGCCCTTGGGGTGGAATGTGGCATGGATGCCTACTTTGGTAGCCGTCCCTTGCTCCCAACACTGAGATGGGGGGGAAGATGCTGCAACTGACAAATGTATAAATCCATTTCAAAAGAACTTATTTTGTTCCCCCTGAAAGTACATCCAAAGAGGTATAATTAGGAGTAAAAATAATCACTGGCACCTGCTTGAAGAAATTGTTTTCACTCTATTCAAATGTGACAGTGTTTAACAACTGATAGAATTTGGTGCAAATTCTATGTACTTTTAAGGCCAACTTGGTTGGCTCTGGAAATAATTAATGGTGGAGCATGGTGTTCTCTGTCATCCAAAGGATGTAAGATGACACTGAGGGATTCTTGTTTAAACCCAAAAATAAAAAGAACCGCCAAGATCCTATCCCAGATCTGTTGTCTGCTGTCTGACACACCCATCCTAGTCACTGTATAAAGTAGGTCACCACAGAAACAGTATCTGATGGTAGGATGTAGGAGAGCAGGAAAGCTTTCTTTTGCGAGGCTGAGGGGTGGAGATAGGAACGGTTTAGCAGTAGGAATCATCCTCTCAAACACAACCATCAGAAATAGCTGCATTTTCCATTTTATTTCTTTTTCTCTAAAAACATGGTGGCTTAGCACCTTTTTCCGCATAAGGATTCCAACCTCTTCAGTTTTCTTTATTAGAAGAAGAGGAGGAGGAGGAGTAGATTGAGTTTATACCCTGCCCCTTCACTCCAAGTCTCAGAGCAGCTTACAAACTCCTTTCCCTTCCCCTCCCCACAACAGGCACCCTGGGAGGTAGGTGGGGCTGAGAGAGCTCTGAGAGAACTGTCTTTGAGAGAACAGCTCTGACAGAACTAGGGCTTGCCCAGGGTCATCCATCAGCTGCAAGTGGAGGAGTGGGAAATCAAACTCGGTTCTCCCAGATTATCCGCAAATCTATTTTTTGTGCACAGCTTTTGAATAACATTTTATTTAGTTACAATTTCTTTAAAAATCAGAGCAAGATATCTGGAATTTCTTTCCATACCCAAACCGTATGTGTAGCCAAATGCCGTGTGCCTTTGTATGTGAACCTCAGCATTATGCAGGTGCTATCTTACCACCTCCAACTCCCACACTGGCATGGGCAGTTGGACCTTATAGTGCCAGACACACTGCTTGGTGGCTTGATGTCCTTGTTTTTGTTCTGGATGCATACAGATGACAACAGTGCCCTAGTCCAGTCTTGTAAATAGATCCTTTCTTCGTGGTTCCTCGTGGCAAAATAAGAATTTCCTTCAGGTGGCCAGTTAAAGAATTTTTTAAAACAAAGGTTTAGGTTCCAACCAGCTCCTTATTTTTATGAGTTGACAAGTAGGCGATTAAAAAAACAAAAAACAAAGCTGTTAATGTGGATTTTGTTTACACAGCTGTTTCTAGTTTGTGGAAAATACGTTTTTTAGGGGAAAAACTCCCCCCCCCCTTGATTTTCCTGGTATATTTTTGCTTTTGATCTTGCAGTGTTGCGACAGAGTGTGTAGCATGCCAATAGCTACGCCGACTCAAACTTTGTTCTGTTGCTTCAGACCAACACGGCTACCCACCCGAATCTATCCTCTTTTTGTTATCGATGCCAACTATACAAAGAAATTCATGAGTGATTGCCACCTTCTTGGAATCTTCATTGAATCCAGCTTGCTTATGTGAGATGTGAAAGACATCTACATTATGGCAGTCTTGAAGTAGAAGCAGTATTACATGCACTGCTCACAAATCTGCCTTGAAAGCTGCTAGTTTTCTACAAAACAGAGTTTGAGTCCAGTGGCACCTTTAAGACCAACAAAGTGCCCCTGAACCTGAACTTTGCTTCAGACCAACACGACTACCCACCTGAATCTAGTTTTCTACAGTTTGAGTGCAGTAAAGTATATTTCTTTGGCAGAAGTAGCAGCCAGTCGTGGAGGAGAAAGTGTCGCAGACGCAGCATTCATGTGAGGGGTTGAGCAAGCTTTCTCAAGTGTCAGCAGTGTCATTACGGGGGCTACACATATTCGAGGCAGAGCTTATTTGTTGAAATAAAGGTGTCACTGTGTAGCTGGATATCTTGACATCTTCAGAAGGGACCACAAATTCGAAAAGGGTTTGATGCACACACAAAAAAGGAGAGATTGGCAGACGTGGTAAAATGTAGTTTTATGGGGGAGGGAGCAAAAAAGGACTGATGACAATTGGGTGGTCAGAGGGATCGTCAGAAGGGCTGCCAGTTTGGTGTAGTGGTCAAGTGCGTGGATTCTAATCTGGGAGAACCGGGTTTGATTCCCCACTTCTCCACTTGCAGCTGCTGGATGACCTTGGGCAAGCCCTAGTTCTGTCAGAGCTGTTCTCTCAAGGACAATTCTGGAAAGAGCTCTCTCAGCCCCGCCTACCTCACAGGATATCTGTTGTGGGGAGGGGAGGGGAAATGAGTTTGTAAACTGCTCTGAGACTCCAAGTGAAGGGCGGGATATAAATCCAATCTCTTCTTATTATTTCCATCGCCTGTTGTTTTTTCAGTCCACATCATTAAATTCCATTTCTCTTATTGCACAAAACCTGAGCTTTTTTAGGTTCCAGGTGGGAAACCTGTTGTGCACCTGAAGTGTAACGGCTGTCAAAACCTGAGGCACAGATTGCTCTGGCCCAGTGGTCATTTTGCAGACTTACAGCCAAGTTTGAGCAGGAGAAATTTTCATATAGGTTTCGCTAGCAGTTCTCTCTCCAGGGTTGCGTTTTGAACACTCCTTTCACAAATGCAAACTTTTTACTTCTTCCCCATTTCCTTAGGTCTGTGGTTTATCAACAGAGTTCAAAGGAGTCTGCAACTCTGCAGCCATTTTTCACTCTGCAGTTGGATATCCAGTCTGAGAAGATACGCACGGTCCAGGATGCGCTGGAAACTTTGGTGGCCAGAGAGTCTGTCCAGGGTTACACCACCAAAACCAAGCAGGAGGTATGTGTCTTCCTGGCTAGCTAACAGTTTGCAGTCAAGGGCCGCACTTAAGGGTGTGTGAGTGCGCAGTGTGGCTGCCAGTGGATAGGGATATGTGAAATTTCGTTATTCTGACCTGGACCACTGACACACATATCTTGGTTATGGTTTCCTCTGAGTGTCCACGAATCCCCAGGGATTCAGGAAGCTGTCTTTCCCAGCCCTGCTACAGAGGTGTCTGAGGTGCCAGTGATTAGATTTGGGACTTTCTGCATTCAGCAGAGCTGTGTAGGTTGGCCCCCAACAACCAGTCCACGACGCATGTGCAAAATTTGTTGTCTTGCTATGTATTGTGAGAAGGAGCTGACTTGGTTAGAAGACGACCTGTGACGCTGCATTAAGCATTTAGAAGTCAGAAGAACAAAAGCTCTTGTCTCTCATCAGTTGAGAGCAATGCTCCCTCTAAACCGTGGAGTCTTGTGAGCAAAAATTCTCCTTTGTGGGCTACTGGCATTAAAGTTGTGAGCGAGCGATTTGGCTACTGCATACATTAGTTTGCTCTGAAGCCCTCCTTCCTGTGCTAAGACAAAAATATGTGAGCCGGAGGCTAAAAAACTGAGCTAGCTCACACTAACTCATCTTAGAGGGCAACACTGGTTGGGAGTACCATTCTGTAGGCTAGTCGTCAAGTGAACCTGAACTGTGTCTTCTCCTATTTTGCTGCGTTCTGCTTTTTTTTAAAAAAAAACATAAACAGTATTTCAGAATAAGGGGGGTTAACAGTTGTTCAGTGACTCCCATTACTAAAATAGCCAGCCCGCTTCCAGCATGCATGAGTTCCAGTTGCAGTGCCCATGTGTCCAAGTCATTCATGTACACCAATTTCTTTGTACAACAGTAACATTGACAAGACATGCTTGCACATACAGGGTGGAGGAGAACCAAGAAGGGCAGGAGAGAATCCCAGTGAGCCATTTGGAAGTGCAAAACTGTATAACTCGTTGTGTCTTTATTTGGAAATACCGGTCGATCTGCTGCTTCGTTCTAAATTTTGCTTTGCATGGCTGCCTTCTCCTCTCTGTAACTGAGATGGTTTTTCCATTCCCTGTGATAAGAACGGTGCAGCAGATATTCAGTCATTTATTTAGGAAAGTTTTTGCTACCCGTAAAACGTAATAAAAATATGAAACATTAAAAGCTGATAATTAAAAGCCAACATTACAAAACACCACATAAAAACTGGATAATCGAACAGCTTAAAATGTTTTCACACCAAAAACACACTATGAAAATGCTGTTAAGATTAATTCTGTATGGATCCAATGCCTACCTCTCTTGGTCATGTTGGAAAAAGAATGTTTCATATTTTGTAATAGTCGTACGCATGAAGCTGCCTTATAGTAAATCAGACCCTTAGTCCCTCAAGATCAGTACTGTCTACTCAGACTCGCAGTGGCTCTCCATAGTCTCAGGCAGAGATCTTTCACATCACCCTACTGCCTGTCCGTTTAACTGGAGATGCTGGGGTTTGATCCTGGTACCTTCTGCATGCAGTACAATGCAGTCACTGAGCCACAACCATACTGATGTGTTGCTTATGTCGTTAAAATATTAGGCATTAAAATATTATTGTGTCTAATGGCATTTTCCACTGACGGTGCCTGAATATGATGAGATGGTTTTTTAGCATGCCTTAATGCCCGTCGCTCAAGAAACCTTTGTAAACAGAGTGGTGCACCGCAATGTGGAACAGAATTGGCTGTACCACACTGCTTTGGGTGTTCAGGAAAAACACACACACACACACCCCGGAGAAGAGGGTGGGAAGTGTGTTGCCCTGAAAGACTGTGTAGGCAAACATGGCATGTCTGGGTTTTATGTCTGACATGTTGTGTGGGAGTAGAAATACGTGAAACATCCCTATGGTTGTCTGAGAGCCTTTCTTCTATGGGAGGAAAACTCAAAGTGCAGACCTCTAGGCTCACCACATGGGTTTTGTTTGGCTAGCCGCTCACTTTTGGTTTCTGGTGCATCTATGGTTCTAGTCTCCTTCTGCTTGACAAGCTCAGTGTTCAATTATGGGTTCAAGAAGGAATGGGTGTTCACTTGAAGCGCTAGTCTGGTCTGGTTTGTATTTTAGTGTCTAGTCTGGTCAAGGAATAAAAACATCTCAAATTGAATTTCGTTTAAAAAGAACCCCCTAAAAGGACTGTGGAAATAATCCTCTCTTCTAATACATTTTGCAGCATGCAGATTGATGGTAAAGGTCTTAGCTAATGTAAGACATGTCTTTGGTACAATACAGAATGTAGCCCAAGAGATAAGTGGAGGGACCAGCTTTGTACCAAACCTAGTTATAACTCTTAGGAGCCAGGCAGCAACTAGATATACCCTGACTTTTTTAAAAACTGCCAATGGTGACAGTGATATTTTGTCAAAAACTAGAACGATTGCCAGTTACTGTTGTTGTGTGTGCCCTGTACTTTCCTTGGTTACATTCTGAGTTTACATAATCAGATGTCACTCCGTTTCCTGCATTTTCTGGCCCTTTGATCCTGCTCTTTCCAGGTTTTTCTTCACAGCCTGAGAGAGATGCTTGCCCAGCAAGGACCCACTGCCATGGGTCTAGTCTGCAGTAGCTTAAGTTCGATTCCAAAAAGTTTTAGTCTTCACGGTGCCACATCGTTCCTGTTTATTCATTGCGGCACCGAATGCACCCAGCGACTACTCTGATTTTTGTAACAGACTGCATAAATTGTCCTATATCTGGTCATCTGTTTTGGGGAATGTAGAGTTTTCCTTTATCCTTGCAGAGGAATTGCTGTGTGGAGTAGGATGCTGAAGCAAAGAGGGACAAGGGGGGTGAACTGATTTCTCTCCCTCCCGCAGGCCTAGCCTAGCCCCACTGAGAGAAGGGGGTGGTTTTAATCCCTTCTCTCCTCAATCCAACCTCCTTCCCCAGCCTGTGTAAATGTTCTCCATGATGTAGGAGCTGTGACCCCGTATATATATGAGGTCATAGCACCTACATCTCTCTCTCTCATTCATAAAAGCAAATGTGTCGCTAAGTCAGCACTGTACCTCAGTGGACTCTGGTAGCCGCACAGAATCTGTCAACTCTGTCTGAGATTCCAGATTCAAGGTCTGCAAGATCTTCCTGGGATTTTTGGCAGGATAGGTGTCATAAATAAATAACTGAGATCATTATGGAAGGGGCAGTGCAGCGGTACATGTTCAGCCATTCTCAGTTTGTCTAGTAACACAAGGACATAAATGCTCATGAAGCAGGGCCCGTGACCATCTTTCTGGGAGTTGGAAGGAACTGCGGCAACAGCAATAAACATGGGGAAAACATCATATGCTTTAAGTGTGCTGATGGTTGGGTAGAAGCTGTTGAGCTAGTTCAGGTTTAGCGTTACTTTTCTCTCCTTCGCAATGGAATGTTAACCCTCGTCGTTTGCAGAGGCTCAAAATGGAAGGAGCATATCTGACCATCCATCTTGTTTCAGCACCAATCTGGTTCTGAGCCCATGTTTTTAACTGGTGTCTAAGGAGATGGGGGCTCAGTTGACTTTTTTTTTTTAACCACTAGGTGGAGATCAGTCGAAGAGTGACACTCGAGGAGCTTCCTCCAGTCCTTGTCCTTCATCTCAAGCGGTTTGTCTATGAGAAGACTGGGGGGTGCCAGAAGCTCATCAAAAATATTGAATATCCTGTTGACCTGGAAATAAGTAAAGGTGACTGTCATGACCCCTGTTTGAGGAGAGGAGGGCATTAACATTGTCTGGGGTTTTGTTTAAGAGAGAGTTTGCTAAGTGTATACACCTACACGGATAGGAACTAGGGGGTGTGCATACACAAAAATCGGTATTCATATCCGGGTGTATTGGACCCAAATAATATTGGTATATACCGATATTCCCAAATACCAGATTTGGTATTGTGTTCGGATTTTGCAACCAATACTTTCTAGAGGACTTCCCAGACAGAAGTACTGGAGAGCTTCCTTCTGAATGGAACACACCGTTCTCCCGCTGTAGACGACCACAGCGATTTTTGAAAAAGATGAAAGTGAAACAGGAGGATATCGGTGGCTCCCTGTCGGATCACCGGATTCTTTATGAATGGATTTTGATTGTTATATGGCTGAGACACGTTGAAGTATTCCATCTCAGAATTAATTGTCAGTGAGAATTCTCGAGAAGATTGTGTACAATTTAATAGAGAGTTACTGCAGAATACCGGATTGTAAAGATATCCCATAGATAAGTAAAGGTAAAGGTTCCCTTGCTCGAAAGCCAGTCGAATCCAACTCTAGGGTTGCGGTGCTCATCTCCATTTCAAAGCCGAAGAGCCATTGCTGTCCGAAGATGTTTCCGTGGTCATGTGGCCGGCATGACTAAACACCAAGGTGCACGGAACACTGTTACCTTCCCACTGGAGTGGTACCTATTAATCTACTTGCAATTTCTTGCTTTCGAACTGCGAGGTTGGCAGGAGCTGGAACTAGAGACGGGAGCTCACTCCGTCATGCGGCACCCGGGTCTCGAACTGCTGAACTACCTGACCTTCCACAGCCTGCAGTTCAGCGTCTTAACCACTTGAGCCACTGCAGCTCCTTCCCATAGATACTGTGTTACAATTTATTATTGTTGAGGATTTCAGTTAGCAAATAAGTTAATAGTTGCGAGATCCTCAAATAGATGGTGAAAACCTGGAAATTAGAATTGGTAACTTAATGTAATATATGTATTGGATACATGTACACTTTAAGGTTTTAGTCATCACCGTGAGTGTTTTTCTTTTGCTGATTTGGTTATACGGCTGAATGAAGTTCACTGATGAGGCATTATTTGGGTATTTATTTGGCGCGGTATATACCGAATGTAGGAGCTGCGGTGGCTCAAGTGGTTAAGACGCTGAACTGCAGGCTGTGGAAGTTCAGTAGTTCAGCAGTTCAAGACCCGGGTGCCGCAAGACAGGGTGAGCTCCTGTCTCTAGTTCCAGCTCCTGCCAACCTAGCAGTTCGAAAGCAAGAAATTGCAAGTAGATAAATAGGTACCACTTCGGTGGGAAGGTAACAGCGTTCCGTGCGCCTCGGTGTTTAGTCATGCCGGCCACATGACCACGGAAACGTCTTCGGACAGCGCTGGCTCTTCGGCTTTGAAACGGAGATGAGCACCGCAACCCTAGAGTCGGATTCGACTGGCTTTCGAGCAAGGGAGACCTTTACCTTTACCTATACCGAATGTACACCCCAAATAGGAACCTTCACAAGCTGGGCTCGATACCAAGTATCTACAGCTAAGCAGTTTCTCAGTCTCTGGATTTTATTTCTTCAGAAAGGCTTGCCACTCAGTAGTTGTGTAACCCTCTCAGATTAGTTCTTGGGTATGTGACTAATTCTTCACAGTCACAACAAAGATGGTTTACTATTTGAATGAGACAGAGCAAGCTTCAACATGTGTTGTATTCCCCCCCCCCCCGTTCCCTTTTTTTTAAAGTCCTTTTGTTTAGAATGGCAGCTCATGAAGAACCAGAATGCTTGTGTCCCTCTGAAAATCTGTGGCTTCATCAAAACAAAGCTTTTGGACTCCTTGCCTTAATCACTTGCAGATTCTTAAATGAAACATTTGCCCCCATCCCGACCTTATAAACACTTGCAGCATTAAAGATCTGTTTCATAAACACCCAGTTTCCCATCACTGTCATTATCTGTTACTGTTTTTGTGTGCTCTAATGCACCAAGTCTGGAGCAGAGACCAAAACTAAATGAAATTGTTTTGTTGGGAGAAATCAAGAGAAAGCGTGTCTCTTTCCAGTAGCTATCCTTCAAACTTGGGCCATGTCAGTAGAGTAGTACTATAGATTGGCTAAGCTTTTCACTGGTCTTTCCTTGGTTAATTACTGCGGATCAAAGAGGTGAGTTGCACGATAACACTAAAGAGGCCAGTTCACTGAAATGCCACATTTGTTTTTCAGAGCTGCTGTCTCCAGGTGTCAAAAGCAAGATTTTTAAAGCCCAAAGAACCTACCGGCTCTTTGCAGGTACGTGTCTCTTTCCAGCAGAAGAAATAAATTTTGACTCAAGAACTCTTGCAATTGTTGCACTCCTGGCATTCACCTCAAATCAAGCCCATCCTGGTAAAGTTAAGCTGTTCCCTATTGGGTAAACAGTAATCACTGG